ACACCACATAGTTATGACAGAAATCCCTCGTACAGCATGGATGTGTTGCCACTTTGGTTAGAAGTATTGTAAGGATTAAATAACAAACCGTTCAATTCATACCTGCTTTTAAAAAAGGCCTAATTCCCTCTGAATATGCATAGATCTATAAACTGTCAACAACTTTAGAACATTGGACTATCCCTTTAAGTAAGAAACTAAGAAATTATACAACCCAGAATTATACTCTAATTAAAAGAAAAATAGGATTATTGAATAATAAAAGTCATCAAATGTACAATCATTTCTAGCCATATCACACAAAAAACTGAATATTCTTGTGTTTCTTGATGGCCTGTATACCTCTAGAAAAAAAACACACTCGTGTCTAACAAATACGTACTCTTCAAAATAACAGAGGCATGTTTACCTGAAACATGCCAAACACAAAATTCTAAATTAAATTTTCAATAATATTAATTCCTGCTTCATGGAATGACATTATTACACTCAGAAGTTTTACAAAAGGAAACACAACAGCTCGAAGAAGCTGAAAAATAGGCCCAGGTCTGCGTCTAGACCTGAAATGCATTTTATCCCAGTATCTCTCTCTCTAAAATAGTAGAATTCTAGAAGTTTTCTCTTGAATCCCAAATTCTGTTAAACATGTCTACGTCAATTTCATAGAAAAAGTATCTGCTCTCCCTTCTAAAATCAACACAAAAACACTACCTGTTTCAATGTTAGGAAAAAACAAACACACTTTTTACAAGTTATTTACAAAATACAAAAGTAGATTTAAGTGCAAACTGAACGTTCCAAGATATCTGTGAAGTTTTTCTACCTCCTTTTTCATATGAAATGTCTCAATTTGAAAAAAAGAAAAAAAGAATGTCTCCTATTATTCTTTTATAGAACACTTTAAGAAAAAATTGTTTCACATGATGTTCTGTACTAGTTGGATTTGGTCACGTGTGAATTATACAAAGTATAAGCGACAGGGGTAAGTGTCTGCAAGGAATATCTGGTCACCACACTGTCCCACATGTTGAAAATTGTGTAAGCCGTCTCATTATCCATCACTGTACACTAACATATTTCATTGTTAGACATTGATTGGATATCTCTGTTTATTCGACAGCATGTTACAGAAACAATCATTGTTAACATGTCCAAACGATTTTTGGGTGACCAGCCAGACATAATCTTTTCACCAAATTTCTAATAAAGACAAACAGGTATCTTGTCACAGTAAAACATAACAGACATGGATGAACACACTTTATCAGGGGCTTAAATAAGTTATTACAAAAAAAGAGGGGAACAGCTTTGACGACAATGGAGATTCGCATTCATCTCCCAACATATTTCAGCACCATTGTTCTTTAACATGAATTGGACATTAATGACCTAACTACAAAAAGCGACACCTTAAAGACGTATTTTCAGTTGGAGTGGGAAGATATATGAGATAATGACTTTGAGCCTCTCAAACAAAAAAACCCCAACAAGTAATGCCAGTGGTTCAGTTTCCATCTTACTATCCACTCAAACAAAAACTACTCCAACACAATGACGGTCACTACGAGCAATGAATGTTTTTCTTCAGATCCTTCTTATAAGATGTATCTTGCATTCTTTCTACCTTTTACAATACAGACTTTCAATACATTTTCTCCTATTACGTGTACATTGTAATGTACAATGTACACATATAACATTTCTTGATTTGCTTCAAAGCTTCTTTCTATAAAAATCTATTCATTTTCTTTCTCTAAGTTTGTACAAATATCTTCCCAGCCCCGTCATCCTATCTAGAAATTAAAAGTGAAAATAACATCTCTTCTCTATAAACGTCAAATGATGACTGCTATTAGGCAACCATATAGTTTGAGAGGAATTGAGGATGAAGATGAAGATGATGATGATGATGATGATGATGATGATGAAGATGATGATGATGATGATGATGATGAAGATGATGATGATGATGATGATGATGATAATGATGATGAAGATGATGATGATGATGAAGATGATGATGATGATGATGATGATGATGATGATGATGATGATGATAATGATGATGAAGATGATGATGATGATGATGATGATGATGAAGATGAAGATGAGGATGAGGATGATGATGATGGTGTTGAGAAAGATGAAATACAAATGGCTGGGGCTATTTCATGTTGACTTTTAACACAGAAAATGCTGCAGATTCCAAGCCCGATCACGAATGAGTATGACCTACCTAACTTTGCCTGTACGACACTAAAGGCCTTCCAAGTCTCTATACATTCTGGGCCCTTTTTGGCCCAGCAATACATAATCTACACACTACAAAACCTTAAAGGAAAAAAAATTGTTCCTTGGAGCAGCAAAATGAAAACACAGAACAACATGTCATTTGTTTCAAATTCCCTGAGACAAGCAAGAAACAAAACTAGAAATCACATGACCAATCACATGACACTATCACATGACAGGGCATTACGACAACTACAAACATAATTGCATGTGATGAACCTTTAAAACAAACTTCATAGTCACGTTCAACACCACTCATCCACTATCTTATCATATTTCTGCTGTCTGTGAATAAACTTGCTACAGCAGACAAGTTGTCATTTCGACTGCAGAAACATCAACTGAGTATTTCCCCTACCAGGGGAATATCTTTCTCAAAATACACAGAATCTTCTAAACGTTCATGAGAAGATATAACAAAGGGCACATGAACTCTGCGCCCCCTGACAAAGAAAACAAAAAATAGTGACATAGACACAGAAAATCATTTACATTTTTTTTTCTCTGTACAGCAAAATTGTCTAATCTTGTCCTTACCCAATTTGTACAAATTACAAAACACGATCAACAAATTTTTCTCCCACCACATCACGAAAATAAAATTACAAAAATTGCACTCAAATTGGTTACTATCGATGCACGTTCTCCTCTTTGTAAGCACGCCTCTGTGCGAGGGAAAATTAATCCTGCTCTTCTTACGAGTCCTTGTTGATTTCATAGATGAAAGTAAGCTGCCCATTTCTAGCATTCGGTCAATGACTAGAGCTGAGAAAATAGTCGCCAGCATAGTCGCCAGATTTCCCTTTTTTTTTTAATTCTCTCTCCTCCTCTCTCCCAAATCGCCTGATCGAAGATACCTCCTCACATTCACTCTAGATGATGATCATCTTCTGCCTTTGCCTCGGAATAAAACTGCGCTCGTCTTCACTTCATATTCCACGGTCTCCTTTGATGCAAATTCACATGTCCATTTTACACTTTAACCCTGGATAGCTGTTTCTTGAGATTTATTTGAGATGTGTCACAAAAAACAACAACTAATCACTTACATATTAGACAACACATTGACAACATGTGACCTTTGACCTATACATATGACCTTGCTAAGGATGTGCCCTAGTAACAGCTAGAGGAGGAGGACTCCTGAAACCTCTCATGCAAGATTACAAACATAGAGTGGAATGTGTATGAGTCTCTCCTTTTTTAATGAAATCAAAACCATATTGGAGACGCATATGTGCACCTCCTATAGTAAGTAGTTTTGTTGGTTCTGGAAGCCAGCTACTTCCCCAAGATAACAATGTCCCGGAAATATTAAGACTGGGAAAACTGGAGAAACAGTCAACGCTATTTCACAGGGACTCCTCGGAAAGAAATTCATGAGAAGGAAATTTGGGAGGAAGTGCACGTTCATTAACTCCCTCTTGCTTTTAGAAGAAATAAAGGAGTGTGATTTCCAAATTGGTCTGGATTTTGGCAAATCCTTTTTCTGTTTGAATAAAATAAAATGGTTGAATTTCTGAATGGCTATTATTAATAATTAGATTTCTGAGCAAACTCTTTCATCAGCCTGCAGTAAACTGAACGGGGAAACTCATCAATATTTTCAAGAAAATGATACCTTCGATGCAAGAAGGAGGAAACACCTTATCCTCGTAAAAGAATACTTTATATGGGAAGTACTTGGCTTCACAGAACAGTGTCTTATTGCTTCTGAATGGTACTCTACACTTGAATGGTGTTTGACGTTACAGTTACTACAGATGGGGCAAGCATTCTGTCCCCCATTCAACATACATGTACCAGTAAACTTTATCATCGTGAGTTGCAGCATGATGCAAAGAGACTTCTTGAGAGGTACAGTTTAACATTTCATGGCTGAGACAGAAGAATAAATCTTAATTATTTGAAAACCAAGAGAACTATATATCAATATGATAATTATATTTGAGTGTAATCACAACAATACCGTTCTCCATGCTTTTTGTAATTTCAACTAGCAAACAAAGAAGAACAAATATTTTCGTCTTTTTCTTTCTTTCTTTTTCTGCTTTTCACACGTAAAAAGTAAAACGTTGAGAATAATAATAACAATAAAGATGATTAGTGTTAAACTGTACCTCTATGTAGTATTCCCAGCACCTCCTTCAAAGAGAGTACAATACTAGATGTATTAGAATCTAATGAGTGTCAGTATCCATAAGAACCCGGACTAAAAGTTAACTTGCCCCACAACAGTACAACATTAAAGAATCTACCATTAGACATAGCATCATCTTGCATAGATCAAACCATTGATAAAAGAGAGGTGAGCTGTCCACGTTACTTGTCATGGAAACACAAAACTTACGACCACACATTAGTAAGTACAGAACATGCCTTCACTGATGGCAGACGCGAGTGTACAGTTTGTCATTACCGACAATTGAGTAAAAAGATTGTATAAAAGAAGAACTATATTATTACAGGTCTTGGCCAAATGTTGATTGGGGGGGGGGGGGTGTCATCAGACCTCACAAATATTCATTCATATGAATTCATGATGGTTCAAAGAAGGTTGATATCATGGAGTAGGCATTGTTTGAACATTCACACGATTCCATCATCGTCGACAGCATCCGACACAGAAGACGATGCCTGAAGATTGAAGTAGAGACTACACAAAGCTCGGACCGGGATGCTCTATTCTAAAGATGGACCCTCAATGATTACACTCCTGGGTCCGGAGAAAAGGGAACAGAAATTGGAGTTGGGTTGGGTGATTCAAAGAACACAGGGTGTCTGGCAGCATGTTGAGTGATTTCTCCTCTCCTCTCCTCCATCGTAAGATGCCCTCCCGTGGGCCGTCTCCCGTTGCCATGGAGACCTAGCGCTCCGGATGGGTGGGGCAGCTCCCAAGCTGCTCCATTAGTTGTCATGATCTCTGAGACTCAGATTCCTGCAGAACGGACAGGCATGAAAATAATTTGTGAGGTTTCTCGTATCATAGAAGAAATGCCCCATTAAAGGCATCGTTTAACAATATTAAATCTGAGATGCATGGCCCTACGTGCTATCAGTGTTTGTGATATGGTGTAATATGGAAGCCCCCAAAAAAAATCGCTTCAAAATGATCAAGAAGTGCCTCAAAAAAAGTAAAAATCTTTGAGTGACCAGTTTTACCATACTCATTTTCCCCAATAGATCATTCCAAAACATTGCAGTATTCATAAATTGAATAATCCTTACACTAAAGATATTATAAGTCTAAAACTGAATAGGCAATCTACTTATTTCGGGAGAGTTGTGTAGTATTATTGAAATTTTAAAAACTTCATATTACTTTCCAGCTGAACAGAAAATTGATGTGTAAAGATCCCCTGCAAAAAACTAGTACCAACATCAAACATTAATAAATAAATTAATAAACTGTCAATAAACTGTCAAATTGCTTCATGAAGCTTCAAGCATTTGTATGAAGCATAAATTTTTGCGAATGAATATTCAATTTACCTCCTTGTCTTGGAGTTGAAGGTTGTCGTAGATTTCCATGAGCTCGCTTTGTTTGTATTGCTCTAAGATGACGAAGCCCTCTAGAGTTGGACTGGCCTTGCGAGCGCAGTCCTGGCAGTGCACCTCATACTTCTTGTCTTTCTCCGTAGTGAACAGAATGTCAAACACCTCAACCTAGAGAAGCAATGAGAGGGAGAGATGTAAACAGATCATACTATTGGATACTTGTATAGTGCTCCTATCAAACTTAGGTGGAGATCCAGGCACTCCGACATTACCTCGGCTCTTGTAAGGGGTCCAATTTCAGTGCTTATAGCATTCAAGCGATTCCTTCTTGCCAACCAGGTACCCATTAAACACCCTGGTGGAGAAAGGTAAATGTAGTATTGGATACCGGTACTTGTATAGTGCTCATATCATACTTGAAAAGAAATCCGGCACTCTGACATTACCCCAGCTCTTGCCAGGGGTCCAATTTCAGTACTTGTAGCTATCAAGCAATTCCTTCCTACTGAGTACCATGAAGTGGTGGGGGAAGGTCAATGTATACTCATGTCTTGCCAAAGGACATTGGTGCTGTGACAGGGCTTGAACAAATGGCCTTCGCATTTTTTGATAAAGTATTTCAACCCTGACTATTGAATTGAATTTGAATTGAATTGAATTGAATTGAATTGAATTGAATTGAATTGAATTGAATTGAATTTATTCAAGATAAGCAGGGTTAATTCATGAGAGTTGTAGAGGCATATAAGAAATACATCAAATTCTTTACATGAAGAAGGAAAAGAAGAGTTGGAATTGGACCGAGGACAGAAAGACAAGGATGGGAGAAAGAAGATGGATCTTTTACAATACTTCTCCCATCAATAACATTGCATCTGCAAGAAATTTGGAGCAGCGGTAATACTAGATAATTGAAGATACCAAACACCAAACAAGACCCTTACCTCACAGTTGGTGCAGTAATGGGCCGCCTCGTTCTTGGCCCTGCCGTGCCAGTGGACCTCGATACCCATGTCCTTCAGATACTCCTTGGTCATCTGGATGTACTTGAGTGACCGCAGCAGGCAATACTTGACCATCTCAAAGTAGCGCGGTTCCGAGACGCGGACGTTGCGGGCTATATTCCATGTGAGATGGATCATGGGAACAATGGACTTGTATTGTTGGAGCTTGTTCCACTCGTACCGCTCCACCGCCATCCGGTACTGGTGCGTCATAAGAGGGCCGACGTTCCATGCGATGTTATTGCACCAGCCCTGTTCATTCAAACCACAAAGAAGTAGGTTAAAGCGAGACTGCACTACTTGTATCTATACTCTATATAGTCAACAATGCCCAAGAGGTAACCGTTGGTCCCCTATGATGCCCTTTTTCTTATGTTAATTGAGAGCTGATTTGATGAGATAATTACCCGTCAGTGACCATGCAGGGAGGTCTAATCCCTCCTGGCCAAACTAGTGCAGATAGGCTTTAAAGGGAAAACCTATTATGATATTCAATTGTTTTGGATCGAGGCAGAAAGATGAGAGGAACAGATCGGTGAAAGTTTTTGAAAAATCCTATAAAGAATAGCAAAGTTATAAATTTCAAAAGTTGTAATCGATCACACGCAAATTGGCAACTCTGTGACGAATCTTTCAAAGCACTTCTGTCATATAAAGGGGCAACAAAATGTGCAACCATTATATTTAGGGTGCAGAGATAATCACATTTTTCGTTCAGAGAAAAAACCATTACTGTAGCTTAATTTCAGGGTGAGTCCCTGAGGTATTTGGTCTTTGGTGTGATTTACTGATGAGAAGCCTGGGCTTCACAAAACTTGTCATCAGTTACAAATGACAGTTTTTGTTATAAGCTACTGAAATCCTTGCTTCTGATTGGTGTTCAGCAGATTTGTGACTGATATTTGTCATTTGTCATTGAAAAAAGGCTTTGTGAAACACCATCCTGGACTTACCACTGCCTGGACCCAATGGACGGTCCCTGAGTTGACCCAGACCAGGTCCCCGGGTCTCTGGATGAACCGGTACACAGGGATGTCCTCTTCGTACAAATCCTCTAGGACGGGCCACCACGAGCCCTTCAAGAAATTGATGTTAGCCCTGCAACAAGATCAAACATTGGTTGATTTAATTTGACCACTCGTTACCCAATCTTTTTTCAGGGTTTAATCAGTCGAGATAATGGCAAAAAAAAAAAAACAAAAAAAACAGAAGTGCTACCACGAGCTTATACCTCAAGGGGACACTACCATGACCTTGTATTGAAGTAAGTACCCCACAAGTGAATGTAGCTTTACAGAAAGAGTGTTCGCTCTGGTAAAGGTGAAATATTATTGTGAGCTGTTTCGTTTTTTTAAATGTCTATGTAGGAGGTCAAAATAGATGGAATATGTGACAAAAAATATGAACGCTTTTGAATTGCCCTCATATTCCACACATGACTAAAATAATGTGACTAATACGCTAATCATGTCAACTCCATAACGTTTAAGTCCAACTTAGAGTTAAGTTCAACTTTGTGAAACACCCCCTGAACAGGATTGGGGTTTGAGGCTACAGCATTGGGTTTCGTTTGGTAAAATGGAAAGAGTGTTATTACCTTTCACAGAGGTTGTAGATGGAGCCCCAGTAAGAGGCGGGTGTGGCAAACCATTCGCAGTCTCCTGGTCCAATGTTTACGTTCACTGAGCAGAAGTTGTTGTTCTCTTGGTGACCTATGTATGAGAAGAGACATTTATTTGTTAGGCACGTCTTGATATGATGAAAGCATTCTTGATTAATAGAGCATTGCAAGCACTGGCATGAGTTTTTGTTACAATCATCATAATCCAACGACATTGATATCATCATCACCACCATCTTCATAATTTTAACCACTGTCATTATACAACCATTATACAACCATCATCATCATCTTCAACATCATCATCATCACCACCACCATCTCCATCAACACCTCCACCTCTATTACCTCCCAACACCACCACCCCATCCCCAACCCCCCAAAACACATCACCACCACCATCATCATCACCACCACCATCACCACAACCACCACCACCATAACCACCTCCACCCCAGCCAAGAGAACCATCTCCAAGGCACCCATCCTCACCTGGTGTTCTACTCCCCGGCACCTTCATGTAGAGTTGTACGGTGTTCATGCCTAGGATGGTGAAGTCTATGTGGCTCAGCATGTTACCTGCTGATACCACTCTCGTGAATGACGGGAGTTTGGTCAGCTCCTGGAGCTGTTTCTTCCATCTTTACAAAAAGGAACAAAATATTATTACAAATTATCACAGGAATCAACCTCACTTTTTGAATCTATATGACTTCTAAATCGTATACTTGGTATGAGGTCGAGTGTATATTAAAGTCACAAAACTATGATCTACGTGGCAAAGAGTATGAATCCTTGCCTAATACCCTTTGGAAAGACATTACTCTTTATTTGCCACAATCTACCCAGTTGAAGTAAATGATTATCTGGTAAAAACTAATTTCTTGAATGATTAAGTGCCTTATCAGGCTAGTTTAGCTAAAACCAGGGGAAATTATTATGCTCTGTGAAATAGAGGGCTAAAATGGGGATACCCCAAAGTTGGTAAACTGAAGAAAAAACAAATATCAGGAAATCATTCAGGAGGAAAAATCCAAAAAGGGACCTGTTTCACAAAGCCTTTTATCAATGACAAATGGCAAAAATCAGTGACAAATCTGCTGATAACCAATCAGAAGCAAGGATTTCAGAAGCTTATAACAGAAACTGTCATTTGTCACTGATGACAAGTTTTGTGAAATGCCCACCTGGTCTAATAAGATGCAGCATTTTCAATTTCATTGCTTGTATTACAAATCAGCTCAAAATATAAGTACACACATAGTTTCATGGGGATAAGAACTGTAACAAATGGAAGGACAAGACTTACTTCCTCTCGTCAGACAAATCCACGTTGGTCCCGAACTTGAGCATTTTGAATTCTCTCCCACCAGAATGCTTCTTTTTCTGATTGTTAAATGAGAAGAAAAGGCAAAAGATAAATTTTGTGAAGATTAATCTCTCAAGATACATTCATTATTGTCTATCTATCTTTCTTCTCTTTGCTTGAGCACATACTTTTCAACAGCTAATTTTAGGAATATTTATGAATTCGCTAACCATAAAGATGAATTGGTATTATCTCAGTGTACATCATCATCTGTTTTTGAGTAGAAGTAAATAGTTTTGGTCTTCTGTAAAACAAACCTACAAATATATAATCTGCTAAAAGCCACAGCATCAACACTAACTTTCACCAGATGATTTGTTCATTTTAATTTGTTTTTACATGCTTTTGATTTTTTGAGGGGAGGGGGGGGGGGGGGGGGGGGGGGGAGGAGATTTTTCTTTTTCGGTTTATTTTCAAGATAAAGGAAAGGAGATTGATCTCATCAGTATTATTCAAAAAAATCTGAAAATAATTCACCCCCATTTCATCAATTTGCTTGAATTCACAAATTCTCTGGTTCCAGAATTCTCATTAATCGTCAACCTCTACTCTGCTGTTACAAACCCTACATTAATGACTGTATTATAATGGTGACCACAACTGTCACTTACTTTTTTGATGTACTTGATGAGTCACTATCTGAATTGTATTTCTGGTTCTTCTCTGCCTCTTCCTGCAAAAAAAAAAAGAAAATGAAGAAATAAGAACTTGAAAAATTTGGATATCCTACATGCACATGAAAGCAGGTTTTAACAAAGACCTAACTTGTAACACCATAAATAGTACTTTGCTATTGGTACCACTCCCAGTTCTTTCACTCCTCTCTCTCTCGTCCAACAATTCTGCAGAGTGTCCATCCAAAGTATCCTCCCTCTTCTCCTACTCCTTCTTCCCACAATTTTTCCCGTCAAAGGCAAGATTCTCTAGGCCTTCTTTACGTGTAATGTACCCATGAACTTCAACTGCCTAATCAACATCTCACGTATCATTTTCTTTTGCACTCCAGCTCGTGTAAGAACTTTCTCGTTAATAACTTTGTCAGTCCAGGGGATTTTCATCATTCTTCTTAAACACCACATTTTGCAACTTACCCTGAGAGACTCCTGGAAGGAGGAAGCCTGGTATTGGGCATACTTGGAGATGGTGGTGAAGGACCGACTGCTCTCGCATCGCCAAACCCTCTTCAGGCCCAGTGCGTCCCAGTTCTCATCGGGAGGTTGCTGCCTCTGTAACAATTCAGAAAGAAGACAGAATGTGAAATGGCTATCAAGAGGAGTAACAGAATGTAGTCTTAACCTGATTTTGTGATCACCTGTATAGATTAGAAAGACTACCTGTCTATAAAGATATATTTCTCTCATAAGCAGAGTTTCTCATTGAAACCGTGAGTAACAGAGCCTGTATATTAAGACCACTTACCAATAAGACTACTTTTCTTTCTGTCTCCCTTGAGTGGTCTTTATATACATTTTTCATCATAATACCTAAGCTGTCTGATGTTAAGCCAAAAGTTTCTGTTTAAAACTGTACAGATTTAGCAAACTGTAGAATACCACTCTAAGGTAATGATAAGGATTAGGAATAGGGTTACTTGTGAGGTGTGGTATTCTGTAACATTTGTTTGAAATTTGGCTGGAATCTTGTCAACATTCACACGTACCTGTGACCTGACCTCTACAGGATGGTCGCCGTGCGTCTCCACCAGCGTCTTGGTGGAGAAGAGACCCAAGTCCAGCTTGAGTGCGGCGGCCAGTCCCCGGATGACCGTGATGGGCTGATCTGCAGACATGCAATAGTCTGCCAGGGCTTGCGAGTAGGCCTCGGTCTTGTTTTGGACCTGTGGAAAGATGGGTTTATCCTCATTAAATCTGTATTCCTTAAGGACTGGAACCCTACACTGCCATACTGTAAGTGTGATACGTCCACTGTTTGTACCAATAGCCATCCAAATCACTAGAGAGTTCATCCTATTCATTGTACAAGCAAGGATCCTTGCAAGGATCCTGTTAATCTAGAATTACAATATCATTTTGGGAAGATATCGTGATGCTGGAAGCACCTCGGAATCCCCCCTACCCCACATTAGGCCTCTACTTTTTTTCTTTTGACCCAAGCAACATAGACTATAAAATATTAATTATAATCTTCATAAAAATATATGGAATACGTTTATTTAGGAACAGTGAATTCCGAAAGAACCAAGAGAGGCAAAACAAAAAAATATATCAAAGATCATCAAAAGGTAGAAGACAAGGATGAAGATGATTTTGAAAATTGTAGGCATCGAGGATAAGAGAAAAATAATGACTAGAACCACATGACAATATAACAATGACCACACTGAATGGTACTCACATAAACACTGGGAGTGGGCGGGTTCAGTTGATCCTTGGGGAGGGGTGGATAGGGGATCTGGGGCGGGGCTGGAGGGGGCATCTTCTCCATCCAGATGCTGCTGTTGGCCAGGCCGTTGCGCCCCTTCAGCTTGCGGCACTCCTCCAGGATCTTGGCGGAGTTGACGTAAATGGAGAGGGATGACGGAGATGGGGCGGACGTCAGGGACTTGACGGTGGCAGAGTTGAGAGAAGTGTTCACATTCAGGACCTGTCGATGGGAAGGAAAGCAATTATACATAAAACTTATACCTGGTATAGATTTCACTGATATTCAGTCTGCAGTCGCAGTCTCTTTTACATACTACTGTAATTCCTGGACATTTATATCCAAACGTAATTGTTCACCTAACCTAAAAGCCAACTGCAAAAAAATTCTACAACAAAATTCTACAACATGGATGAACTAAAAAACCTTGAGAAAACATGATTGAAGGAAGAGTTGGATGACCATGATAGTAGCAGCCTACCTGATCAAAGTGGTTGTCAGAGACATGGTTCTGTTGCAGAACCTCTCCATCCTCGACTCGTTGCCTGTTACCCTGTGTGTCTTGAAGATCACTGGAAAGCTCTGATGAACACCGAAGTCCATCCAACAAGGACGTGCTATTTGTTGTCCCGGCCGCTTGCTTCTCAGCGAGAGCCGACTGGAATGATGCTTGAAACTGGTTGGGTGTGGAAACAGGAAGCGGCGTCTTAAACACATTGTCTTTCGTGCCGTCCACACTCGTTGGCAACCCACTCGCGGCACTACTCACGCCACAAGGCATGTCTAGGTTTGTCCTGTTTTGAGCATGGCTCGGTAAAGAATGAGCAGTCCGATTTGTCGGGGATGACCCGTACGCGGAAGAGGTCGCAGGCTTGTTGGCAGGATCTCCCTGCGAGAGCTGCGCGAGCATGTTGTCAGCAATTTCCTGCGGCGACATGAGGTTCGGTCTCATTTCCGATGCGCCAGTTCTGGATTTAAACTCCTTGAGTTTGTGGCTCATGTCAAGGTTCTGAGGGGCGACCACATTTGGAGCAGGAAAATCCAGCATGTTCTGTGAGGCAGGGGAACTCCCCACATGACGAGGGCTCATTGAATTTGAGGACACAGGGGAAAGTAACCCCTTAGGGGTATGCAGCGGAGAGGACACTCCTGATAAAGATACCTGTGATGTCCCTGAATGCATGGGGCTGCCGAGGAGCTGGTTATTGAACAGACCATGAGACATCTCCTGAGGTTGCTGCGATTTCTGCAAATGGAAAAAGTCTGGCGAGACGGACTGCAGGACGTTCACATCCTGGTGCTGTTGGGCAAGCGCATTAAGACCCTGCTGGCTACCACCGTGTTGCTGCTGCTGTTGCTGATGCTGCTGCAACAAACTGGCAACTGTGCTCGAGGCATTTCCAGGCTGTGTCGTCATGTTCGGGATACCGTTTCCCATGGAATTCACTGAGCCCGGCAAGGTGTTGATACTCTGCAAAATGATGATGAAACAAGAAAGTGAGAAATGATCAGCATGATTTATAATGAGCACATTTAGGACATATTCTAGAATAAAAAATAATAAAATGTTTTTTGCGTATGTATTCATGAGTAAAGTTCTTTACAAATTAGAATCTTTAACATCAACAGGACATAGGCAGAACTTTTAGAAGTTTACATCAATCATTTTATTTGTTTATCTCTTTGTTTTCATGTTTTCAATACAATATTGAATCTAATTTATGCTAATCACATCACAGAGAATGTCTTCTCCGGCTATACTTACAGTCTGGTTGATAAGGCTACTGACGGATTGGGCTGCTGTGGTGATGTGGGGATCCCCTGGTGTGAGCCCATGCAGCATGGTTGAGGTGGGTGTGCCAGCGGGTGGACCACCCTGGTGGGGGAGCGAGGGGGATTGCGAGAGCGGTAGCTGATGCCTCTGGATCTGTTGGATCTTCAGCATCTGGGAATAGGTGAACAAGTCAAATTAGTATTATCCATTGCAGCCGTGATGATAAAATAAACTAACAAACCATGGGAGTGTTTTTCACAAAGATCGACTTTAAGTTGGATTTACTCTAGCTGGCCACTCATGCCACTGTTTGCTCTCACTGCTTACTGGCATTGGTCTCTCAAGGGAAGTACAAATTATGGCCACAAATCTACAGAATTTACAATATTTTGATAGTTCATTATTGATGGAAAAATTATAAATGCCATTCTACCTCCTAGTACAAGAGTCACTATTTTCCTACAATTTAAACAAAACTGTTTTGTGTAATGTCCTTTCGCAAAGGTCAGGTGAAGCTCTTACTAAAAAACAAAGGCACCTTTCTTAGCTAAAGCTACGGTCACAAAGGTTCGTACGAATCTCCCTATTTTTCCATCGTCTTCCCGAATATCCATTGTCTGAAAATCGTTTGTACGGTGTTCGTAGCAGTTCGTAATGGCATTTGTGACCGAGGCTAAAGCTACATACCTGCTGCTGATGTTGCTGCATCATCCAGAAATTATGTTGGAACTGCTGCAGGACTATCTGCTGCTCCGGGGTGAGGCTTCCCTGGTTCTGCTGCAGCTGATGCATCAACTGGATCTGCTGTGCTGTCAGGTAGAACGAGGGTGTCGAGACCTGCTGCTGCTGCTGCTGCTGGTTCACCGAAGGCTGTGGCTGTTGCATCCCACTGCTGCCATCCCGTATTGGTTCGGGTGTGCTCCTGGCGCTGTTGGGCAGGCCGGGAAGGGTTCCTTGACCCGTCGACTGCAATGGCTGTGGTTGCTGAGGTGTCGCCAGGCTGCCTGCTTGCTGCTGTTGCTGTTGCTGCTCTCGTTGCTGCTGCTGCAGTTGTTGTTGTTGCAGCAGTTCAGCGACGGAGGTGGAAGACTGATATATATTGAACAAGAAATATAAGGAAAGCATGTCAAGTTATTTAGAGTGTACTCACCAAAGGCATAATCAAAGATACGGAAGAGCAAGAAGTAAAATCATTGTACTTGACATTCATCTCACACTACTACTCAGTTGATGTGGGGTAAAAAGTTGTACATTCGCTGGTATGGAAAGACATAAACTATCAGCACGAAACTTTCTGATACCCATGTCAAACCTTGGGGACTGACAAGATACCAACAGAAAATTACATTTGCTTTAATGGCCAAGACCCACTCAGTTAGGAGTCTCTTTGACGGTGTGGCCGAGGAATAGTTATATTCCCTATATATGAAGAAGAAAAAAGGACTACATACCCGAGGTTTTTTCTTGCTGTTTGAGTTTTTCCTGCGCTTGCTTGGGTTGCCTGGCTGGGCGTTGACCTGAGCTTGAGAGGATGGGGTGCTGTTGGGTTGGCCAGCGGTGCCAGGAAGGGTGGCACCGAACTGGCTGTTTGCACCGTGACCCGGGTACGGGGGAGGGGGCATCATTTTGGTGCCTCCAGCAGGATGCAGCAAACGGGCCTGCAAGAAACATAGGCAACACATATTCTTACTCGTCTACTGATAAGATCATATTGTGCTTCAGGATGTTGTAATGCCTATCTGCCTGTGGACACCACCAACAGAGTTAAAGGCCTACCGATATATTTTACCTTAAAATCTTACCAAAATGCCTTCCATACTGGCAAACAAATTTATGGTACAAATAGAATAGATTCATTATTATTATTATTTTTGTAATCATTGTTAAGTGAGGAATATTTATATTTTAAATAGAAATTGACGCTGATGTATTGAGTTATAACACGTAAATACTGAAGATTTGTTACATTGGAGAGGATGAATGGAAGGGTTTATTACCTGTTGAATGGCAAGGTTGCCTTGTCTAGAGGTAAGCTCAGCTGGAATAGGAAGACTCCATGCCTCCTCTATACTAGGCAGTGTCTTACTTCTGTCATGTGGGAAGAGAAAGAGAGTTATCAAAAATAATATCGCTAGTGACATTCATTTGTCTTGCAACGTTAGGTGATCAAATAATTCGATCAAAGAGAGATATAGTTATATATTTTTGTTTTTACACAGACACACAAACAAACAGGCACACACACAAGTGTAGATCCTTATTCACAGCACCCTACTGGAGACCCACGTCAAACACAAGCTCATCTCAACAAATATAATAGAGCACTTTAAGCCCCACCACTGCACTAGTTTGGCCAGGAGGGTTTAGACCTCCCTGCATGGTCACTAACAGGTTATTACCTCATCAAATAAGCTCTCAATTAACATAAGAAAAAGAGGATCATGGGGGACCAATGGTCACCAATTAGGAATTCTTTGCTATATACAGGGCGCAAGGAGCTATAAGTAGTGCAGTGGGGCATTAAATAAAGATGTGGAACTTACTTGTTTTGCATATTAGGATGATGCATGCTGTTGACCTGAGCCTGCAGGAGTTTAATCCGCTTGGAGAGTGCTGCTGCCACTGCTACCTTGGAGCTCTTGGAAGCGTTGATGTAACACGTCAGGGCATCCCTGAAAACACACCAATCAAAGGCACCGATTAAATATTGCAACAAATTTGAACTCTTCCAGAGGTTTATTGTACATTAATTCTGTAATAACTGCAAAAACTTTGCCAAAAAGGTACCCTAAGCCTGACACTAACCCAAAAGCTAATACACTGTACTGATGCAGGTTGGGGTCTTCTGCAATTAATCCTAATCAGAATTGGAGAAGACAAATCCCAAGTTCCAGAGTATTTGAAAATTGAATTGTAACATTGTCTTCACACTTTAATCTAATCCTGTGTTCTGTAAGGGCTCCCCCAACAAACGAGAATGGTAGTCAGAATATATAATAGCTACAGATTTTAACAGTTGTTAAATTCATTATATTTTACATGTAATTGTTATTTGTTTTACTTGTTATTATAGCTTAATTTTTATATTTGATTAAATGGTCAGCCGCATATAAGGATCACGTCCTTTCAGGCTGCTACCAGCATTAGCAATTTCCTTTGTATTTATTTGTATGTTTTGGAATTGTGTGAAACTTTGTATACTGCTTTTGTTTTATCCTGTATGTTTTTTATTGCTTGGCAAAATAAATTGAATTGAAATTGAATTGAATAATTCTTTAGCATATCTCAAGATGGAAATCAATATTAATCGTAGGGTTATTCTTTTGAGGGGAAACATTGTGGAGTGTGTCTGACCTGGGTTGATTGCAGGCCTCGTATAGGATGCCCAGATCGGTCCACGCTGCAGTGTGGGACTTGTCTAGCTGCACGGCACAGATGTAGGCCTGCAGTGCATCCATAGGCTGGTTCTGCTGCTGGTATAAGACACTGAGAGATGGAAGGGGAAAATAGAGAGAACAAATTTAAAAATAAATATTTAAGAAAAGTATGCTTCCAGTGGGAATCTGATTTAATACTCCAGGATGTACGACACATTCTCCACCAACCGTTGCTTGTGTTCACCTACCTACACAAATCTAATTTCAATACAAAGACCAAACGTTATAAACCTTAAACCTAACCTATTATTTAAATGCCATCCTAATCATAGATCTCTAACGAAGTAAGGCCTGAACAAATTTTCATTGGCGCAAAAGATGGATCACCTCAAAGGGACACCATTTGAATCAGGTTCTTTGAGCAGATTCAACTCACAGATGGAATTATTTGAATATCTTTTAAGTGTCTTTGACTGGATTTTTTTTTTTTTTACACAGGGCATTTCTTCCCACTAATTTGGAAAGACCTCAAACACTATGTGGGGTCAAGTTCTTACGAAAAGAAATCATAACCCTAATTCCCTTCCCCATTCAAAGGCATATGAACCTACCCGATTGAGAGCATGTCCCCCTCCCCCCTGACATATTTGACCTAAACTGCCCCCTTCCCTATTCTCCTTGAAAATCCCTTGAACCTACCCTATTGAGCACCAGGTGTCTGCATTGGCCTCTGACTTGTCTATGGAGTGGCGATAGGAGACAAAGGCATCATGCACCTTGCCGATGTTGGAGTAGCAGCGACCCAGGAGGTACCAGGACTGGCCGCTGTTGGGCTCAACTTCAAGGGACTTGAGGAGGTTCTGGATGGCCAGGGTTTCCCTGGAGGTCTTGTCACCAAGCTGGTCTGAGCTGTGGTACAGCCAACCTGCAAAGGGACAACAAATCAAGTCATTTCTTATAAATCTTATTAATGGTTCTATGATCAACCTATATATTCTTTTACCATTCAATATAAGTTGTTCTCAGCTTTCATATACTTCCTCTCAGAAAAAGGCATTCATATGTTGTTTCTAAGATTTGTTGTATTATTTGTCCACACTTTGGGATTATGGGAAACCGTTTTTAATCTTTTTTTAAATTTTCATTTATTCCAATTTTTTTCTTCTCCTGATCCTTTACTCCAGACTACCTACCTAGATGTACATGTACACTGTGGACTACCAACAAGCATAAGTGACCTTTCCGAGTGTGTTTTTTTCTTTCTGTTTTCTAAGGCGAAGAGCAACCTCTCATATTCATATACACAGCCACATGCATTTCTAAACAACAATTATCAATACTACTGTATCAAGGGCCTACACTTATCTATTCATACTGTGAATGTATATGACGAGGGTTCGACGTCAAACATCTTGTCTCCCGCATCTTCTGTGTATTCAAATCATTTGCAAGCAACTGAAACTTCAGGTAAAAATAGATCTTTTCTTAGGAATCGCCATGAAAAGCTTTAATGTCTGATGGATATCTATGATTTAGTTTCTTTTTATACACATATTTGCATAGTTTGGCTCTTGTATCAACATCATACATACATCGTATTTGTATCGTATCGTATTGTATAACTTATTCTACATTTGTAATCTTTGTACATAAATATATTCGATTTTTTCTTGGTCTTTTTAATAACATTTGTGTATAATGATATTGTAAAAACAGACTCGCTTTAAAACAGTCTCTTGGCTAAAAGCAGGATAGTTTTTACACCGTGTTTAAATAAAGAAAACAAGGAAACATGCAAAATACACACACAAATAAACAATGAATATGAAGGAATGAGAAAAGCAATCCTTTTCAGGGGACATTTCTACTATGATATCCTGCCAAACTGGAATAAGAAAGCTCACAAAATATTCACCATCTTTATCAGAACTCAACCTTCTCTACCCTTCCGTGCATTACAGATATTATCAGTTACTCACCGAGTTGTCTGAATGTTGTCGCTTTCAGGCCTTCCGGTAGAGGGTCCTGAAGCAGGATGGCTTCGTACGATTCCTTGGCGTTCTTGTGTTTGTTCTGCTGGAGGAGACAAAACACCAAAGGAACTTATAACGATGAAGCAAGGTGTCAACACCTGAAAGTTGGGTGTCAGCATTGTGTAACTAAATTGTGTTCAACACTAGGGTGTCAAATCTGGATCTAACACGGAATAACTATGAGTAGAGACATGACATCGAAGGAACTTATAACGATGAAGCAAGGTGTCAACACCAGAAAATTTGGTGTCAGCATCATGTACTAAATTGTGTTCCAACACTTGGGTGTCAAATCTGGTTCTAACACCAAACAACTATGAGTAGGAGACATAACACAGAAGGAACTGAAAATTTGGTGTCGGCATCACTTGACTCACAAAGTGTTCAACACTCTGGTGTCAAATCTGGTGCTAAGACACAGGAAGAATTTTGAGAAGGCAATGTGTCAAAAATTTGAATTTTGGTGAGTGCATTTGTCAAGTAAGGTGCGAACACCACATTCACCAAAGAAGCATTTTATAAAAGCACAGTCTCAGTCATTCTTCTTTCTTTTTTATCATTATCCCCCTTGTATCCCATTACCACCTACCTACAAATGTATCTACATTCATATCCCTTTTAATTCTTCACTATAATAAAGTACATACTTTTGCAAACAATTGCAAAGGTTTGCTAAATAAGTACTCATCCGAACGCAAAACATACCAGAATTTAAACTAGTTTTGAGAAATATTTATACCAGTAATAAAATTACATAAAATGAAATATGTGAATTAAACGAAAAATAAAAATTTATACGAAAGAAGAAATAAACAACAAGAAACTTACCTGCACCTCATTCAAGTGTGCTATATGAAATTTAACTGGAACGAAAACAGAAAAAGAAAAGAAAATTAAGATTACACACTTCTTCAAGTTTCCAATCACAAAAAGAGAACACTCCAAAATAGCATAGGATTTCTCTGGATCTATTTGGATAAAAATATGCTCAAACTTTGGTAGTGACCTTTGACATTTGCCTTCACAATGTTCATATTGGTACTCACTTTGGGTAAACATGTTCAATCCCTTCAAAGTTTGCCGTCATAAATAATCAAACGGTGGGAACTTCGCGAGAGCAAAAAAATAGACAGCTGCCTTCCAGAACCGAATCTGGTAGAATACTAGACATGTCATCCACCTGATCAATCAGAATACTTCATTTATTAATTTGACCATTGTGGAATATGACGCCAAATTATGCCATTGTCACATGCATTTAATAGATCATGAGCTAAGAATAGCCCTACTACGATGTCTACTTCCTCTGAGCTAAAGTTAGAAGAGCGATATAGTCGTCACTTCCATCCTATTTCCTTGTCCACCGGTAATGAGATCTCGTTAATGTTTGCTGATTTACCCACTCTCCTGTGTGATATCATTTCCAACGGTAGTCTTGCTATCTAGACTCTTATGCACTAGACTTGTAAATTCAGGTCAAATATATCTTTGTTACCTAATGTTTAGTCTAGCCGAGATTGTAATACGGCAGTTTGTTCCTGTGAGTAGAAATCACATTTGCCCAATGCAGCAGGACTAGTGCACATAATGAAGGTTGCTACAATGTATGTGTCAGTTTTATCGGGTATCAAAATTGTGTCTGAAATAACAGACTAACACATACCAATCCAGTCAACAAGTCAGGATGGTGGGGGAATTCGGGGTATTCCCCTTTGTAGTGTAAGCATGGGCATTCCTTAGATCATATTCAAATGTGTATTCAGGCTCTATTAAGCACACAAACATACACACACTAGTGTCAGCTACAAAACAGGGTAATTACTAAAAAGGTTTCCACACTTCATAGAAAATGAAATCCACCACTTTTCCATGATTTTCAAAAATAACACCATTTATATCATCAAGGATATCACACAAATTGGGAAAGTTACAACATCTTCAGCCCTGGGAGTGACAATTTCTTATTTTCATATATAACATGAATTTACATAATTTGTCCATGACTTTGGACAACTTTCCTTTTATTTCAAATTCAAGACTTGTTTTACAACCACCACCATTACCACCACCACCACCATCACTATCACCATCACCATCATCATAATCACCACCATCAGCACCACTATCACCAACAACAACCCACCATCACCACCACCAATACCACCACCACCACCACCACCATCACCAGCGCCGCCACTACCACCACCACCAACACCACCAACACCACCAACTCACCATCACCATTACCAGTCGACTTACTTTGAGGTTTGGAGAGGGTGCAGGGGCTATTGTCGATCAAAGCCAACTGGTAATGCTTGAGACTTGAATCAAAGTCCGAGTTCACTTTGAACATGTGACCCAGGCGCAGATGTACCTCATTGGCTCGGCTGAACCCAGGATCAATGTAGAGGACCTGCTGGAAAGCTCGCACTGCCCTGAAAAATACAAGTGAATACAAGTTTAAATTAAAAATCCAAAATATGGAAGTAAAGTCCATTTCAAACATCATTCCAATGCACAATTATACTCCAATCATATCGACAAACTGGCAACAATCTAAATTAAAAATGAAATTATCCCAAATGGCCAAGATTACGCTGGATTCAGTCTGAACAATTTTGTTAATGATATCATTTCAAATTGGCTTATTAATCCCTACTCAAACTGAAAGGACCCACACTAGACTAACAATAGACTGGATTGAATTACATTACCCCAAATGGCCAAAATTTTGTCAGTTTTTTGTTGATTTGGAGTTGGTTTGGCAATATGACTGGTGCTTTACAAGTCAAACAAGAAGATGCATTGCAATGTTATAGAACAAAGCCCTTAAAAAATACACAAAATAACATTTACTGATATCACAACATTAAAAAGTGGACCAGTCTAGAAATGTAAATGTTAGTCCATTCACATACCCATCACAATCAGTCAACATCACTCTCTCTCTCTCTCTCTCTCTCTCTCTCTCTCTCTCTCTCTCTCTCTCTCTCGTCCTTTGGTATTGATTTCAAACTTTGGCTGAGCTCCAACCAAGCCGAAGCTACGTGCATTTTCCCCCCTCCCTCACTGCCACAAAGAAAAGACCCCTCAAAGAATGAGCACCTAGAATGACGTCACTGAGCAGCTAGCCGGAAGAACATGCCAGCGTTTCATTTACTTTCCTATCAGACCTGCCAGAACATTACACACGCATTCGACGACATTCAGTATTCATGTCTCAAAGTCCCTAATACAGACGTCACTTTCTGAATGAGTTTCTATTTTCGTCCATATAACAGAATCAAGTGCGCTCCTCAGTCAGCGGTAGTAATAGTAAGCATATTCTGCTGGCATGTTTTCAACTATGGTTACATGTATGAGCGAGCGTGGGCTGAGCTTTAATGACCAACTAGTCTTTCTTTCTCCACCTCAACGGCCAATTACCGTTGTTTACGCAGTGCACAAATTACATCTCCTTCATTTGTCAAAATTAATGAATCAAATTATTAATCTTGTAATGTATCAATGATATGTCACATGCTTTCTCTCTCTCTCTTCCTTATTTTTTTTTTCTCTCTCTCTCTCTTTCTGCATTATCAGCATTATCTTGAAACACACATCTCTCAATCTGTGGCATCTGAAAATCCAGAAACAGCGTCTGCTACAACCTCCCTCCCTCGCACTGGGCGTGGGAGGAGAACCAACAGCAAGCGCATCTGGCCATGACCATGCAGTGGGCGACCCGCCTACTGCTAGGGAAATCCCCCTGCGTGACTCATATCCAAAGCGTGGAACCCATGACCATAACTACCATGGATTGGGTCGTTGTTCTGCCAACATAAATACGATCACTTGGTCATGGCTACTTATTTAGCATATGCCATCACAGTTATCTGATAACATCTCAACATCTTAAGAGTACAAGATGTTACAAAAAATATTATAGACTCCTGTGAAGCAACATTCCTCCTGTAATAACTTTTCATTATGGTGGGGTCGAGAGATCATATGCTGCCTATTCTGACACGTAACATAAAGCAACTTCTCATGAGTTTCCCACATATTTCTGGTTATTCCATAAACTTTCAAGTGCCCCAAACAAACTAATATTCTTCTCATATATTCCATCCAGAATGATCAAGTTGAATGCATGCAAAGACAGTGACAGAAACATTTGTATATGATAAACAAACAAACAAAAACATAAATAATAATTCACTACTTTATACTTGTTATTATACAGATACAAAGCAAACATTTTAATATCTTTTTCAAGATCAGCCCTAATATTATGATTTTTTAAACCAACTTTGTTTTTCCAATACAACATTATATATGTCCTTATCCATGTGGAAACATGAAGAGAAATGAAACACACACTTATTTTTTCCCTTCAAAACCAGCCCTAGTAGTCTCCTACTTCAAATCCCTAGTAACTTCACACCATGAATAGTTTCCCCTATCGCATTCATTAGTAGATTGCCAACATATTGTATTTTGCTGATGTCGGCCAACGACTCCACAAGCTACGACTGGCTATTTACTTCCGCCCGGCTCCAGCGGAAGCAGCGAATGCAACATACCGCCGGCAAGGTTTTGTCACTCGATCCCCCAGAGATGGAGCAAAGCTTTGCCTTGAACTCCTTTCCGTCGACCTGTGGCTGATGCTTGTTACATCTATTGTGTCGTCATCTTGCTTTCATGTAACTTCCGGACGAAGAGTACCCCCCCCCCCCTCCCCCTCCCACTTCAAGTGTTTTGATCAATGTTATTCCCTTTTCCTGAGAACAAAAACAGTGTCACTATCTGATAGCCCTCAATGGAGCAGTCTCTTTCTCTCTCAATCGCTCGCGGTCTCACTGTTTCTTTCATCTTTACGTCATTCTTTTCTTTCTACTTGTTCTCATTTCCGGGCTCCTCTAGCTACATGTACATCAAACTTTTTCATCACCAATGATCTTATCTGTTCTCTCCTTGAGTCTGCATCATCTCCTCTCTCTCCCTCTCTCTCTTTCTCTCTTTCTCTGTTACTATTATTCTTTCTCATTTTTTCACTGCACATCTCTGTATATATAACATTTTGCCCTCTAAATCACATCTACCTAGCTAAGACAGTCTGACAGTCTGAATGAATGCATAAAATCTCTCTCCCCCCCCCCCCCCCCCCACACACACACACACACATACATCATGATCAAACAATACCTTATCATAACCATCATTAAACAACAACATCTGGACTAGGTGACCAAAGATAAAAATCATGCAGAGCCTCAATTTATAATCGGTATCATCACATACAATGTGCAACCCTACCAACTGCATCAAGGAAAGTGAGCCCTTTCTTCAGATGCTTGCCTGTACGTGTTTTTACTGCCATCAACAATGAATGGCCTGAATGGCCTCACAGCCTTCAAAAACAATTTCATAAAAATTTGAGTTCTAGACAATGAGAAAGCACTGCCACCAAAGATGTGATAATATGAGTGTTACATGTGTAATGCATACCCCAAGCAGTTGCACCAGAGATTTAGCTCATTTATCAAAAATATATTCATAGAATCAATAGGGATGTTAAGCCACTGACAAAACACATTCTTTAACAACCTCATTGCAGGAAGCCGATAGAACAATCTTATATATTTTAAACCTGCTTTAACGGCCACCTGTACAGAAGACCACCTCTCTATAAAGACCACATTTTTGTTTCCCTTGAAAATGGATTTTCATTGAAACATGTACCAAAGGAACCTGTACATAAAGACCACTTTTCTTGTCTCCCTTGAGCGGCCTTTATATACAGGTTACTACAGGCATCTTATCAAGCTCACCTGTCGTCTTCTTCAGAGTCGTAGCACTCTGACGAGTCGTCTTGGTGTTCGGAGGACGACGACTCCTCCAACAGGCCATCTTCTCCGAAAGGAAAGTTAGCATTAGTCCAACTATAGTCATCTTCTTCCTCAAAGGACGAAGCCCTTCGCTTCATTTTAAACTTCTCCTCTTGAACCTCGACAAAATAAATGTAAAATCCTCTTTTTTTGAGGGATCAGTCTTCCGTTTGCTCTGATGTCTTGTAAAGATTCTTATAAGATGCAATGAAGGATTCAAAGGCCATTAAAACCCATGATGAAACGTCTTGAAGAAACAGTGTTGTCTACTGAGACTTCCTTCAAAATGTCCTCGAAACAGAAGACGGTGAGGAGATGCACGAGACTGTCACATAAGCCATATAAACATGAAGAAAGAAGGCTGTGCGAGAGATGGAACATGTGGATCACGGACGAACTTTGCGTTGGAAACTGGAATGGTAGTGGGTAGCAACAGACGCTCAGCTGTCAGGCAGACTGGAGTTGCAGACGGGTTTGTGGAAGAGAGGCAGCCAAACAGTGACTAATATACTGTACCCATGGAAGGCAGTGGAACGTTCAATGCCATACACACTTCTACACTTCCACACACGTGCACACACACACAAAGGTTCATACACACGCTCAGAATTACGCACACGCTCTCGTAGAGGCTCGTGAAGTTGATCTGAAGGACAGAGGCCGAGAGCGAGAGAAAGAGAGAGAGAGAGAGAGGATGGTGGTTGGAGAAAGAGAAAAAGAGATAGATGGAGAGAATCCACTTCCCCATGTGAGTGCTTGGCTCATAAATTATCTGTGACGTCGTTGGCTATGCTGTCACAGAGAGCGAGCACGTCATCCTTTCTCTACATTGAAGCGGGCGTACGTGACTAGCTGGCTTTATGCAACAAAGATAGCCTGCACATGCACAAAGCTACTTTCTCCATGGAAAAGGGAATCCCTCTTAATTATACATTTTTTTCTTTATTTCTCTGAATCTATGATTAATCAGTGGCTTTTCTTGCTAACAAAGAGTATAAAATCCTCAAAAGATAACCTGTAGAAAAGAAAACATTTGTGAAGAAATTTTATGGCTCATGAATATTTCCTTATCTCAGACTTAGGAAGAAGCTCTACAACCGGTCGACACTTGACATGATTTATGTATCTAAAATAAAAACTTACATCATATGCCTTTATAACTTAGGTATCACTGGGCGTTATCATAAATCATTCACAGGTTCACATGCACTCCCCTTTCCCTTTCATTGAAGAAAACTACCAAGTCATGGCAAGGCTTAACACTAACTAACATGGGTCTTGCCCACGTCGCCGCCCCCCCCTCCCAACCCCTTTCTTTTCTTTTTGTTGCCATTAAGATAAAAGTACAGTATGTTAACATATACATCATAATATATAGAAAATTCAAAGCCTCTGTATGGCAATTCTATGCTGTCTATATTATTTGTTTTCTCGAGCAATGTTTCACTTTCACACATGTATATAAACAACAACCTGTCTGTAAAGACCTCTTTTATTGTTATCCATGAGCAGTTTTTATGTGTACATGTAGGTTTCACTGTAAAATGTTAATTCTGCTGCTATGG